GCTCCAACCACCCTACGGGACCTGTCAAGCATATGCTTTTTTACCCGTTATAAATCATTGTTCTTTGTTCATTGTTCTTTCCGCATATCCCTATTATTGTTCGACTATACACCGTTTGCTGTTGTGTTAGTTTGTCAACAATAATCTAGATTGGAACTTATTGAGAATACCTGTAGCTCGGGGTGTGGATGAGGCGATTGGCCTGTTCTCCGAGTCGGGCATTTCTGTTGCAGAAGTTTCGTTACTAAACTAGACAACAACTTCAGTGCGGCTATTCAGTACTGATTCGCGGAGTCTCGCAAACCAATGCCAGATCCGAATGACTATTGATTGTTACCTGCTTCGAAGGTCAGTCTTCGATCGGTTCACGTGAGTCTGTCGAGTGTACACGTCTTCTCCTTGTCTATCTGGTGCCTATTGCTGGCTTAACCTGCAGAGCTGCGTAGACACCCTCCAGCTCCAGGTGGTTGTTGATTGAGTTCCGGTCAGAATGCCAGGCCTTGAGGAACACACGCGCTCTGCGATTTCTTGCTCTTCCAAGTATTTAAACGTTCTCCAGATCGAACTGATGGTCCTCGGCATCCATGTGTACTGTACTGACATTAAGGACTTCTAACCATAGCGGCGTATGGCCAGACTATGTTCGCGCATTCTTGTTCCACCATCGCAATGAGCTTGGACCTTACCGTGGTGTGATGGTTTTCCTGCCTCAGAGATCCATTTAGCTATGCTGGATGAAGCTTTTTCACCTTCATATCCACTCATACCAGATTGGACAATGGTTAGAGGCCAGACAAACTCAGCCTTCTGGTCCTCCATGTTGGGGTTGGAATGAGGGCGGCACCTTATTCCATAAAACGGACTCCTTGTAGCCCAAAGCCAAACCCGCAGCTCCGTGGTCAGCTTTTTGAACCAAAGGCTTTGGTTGAGAATCCTAATAGTTCTCTTGTCTAGCCCTAAGCAGCCCGACAGTATCCTGCCCAGGCAATACAATAAATTTCTCTTCAAACAGGTACTTGATTCTCTGACCACCGCAGAGGATAATCAACGGTGCCCTATCTGCTGCATCGAGCAGGGTGGATAGGGGTTTGGATGCTACTGCTCTAGCCTTCCCGTCTTCTTATCCCCCTCTTAGGCTTTTTCACTCACCGTCCCATTCCAGTTTAATTTTCCCCCTTGTTTTCAATCCCCCAATTCTTGGCCCTCCATCACCTTGCTTTGATAGGCTTTTTTCTTTTAGTTTCAACTCACATGTGCACGCACAGCGTCATTCCTGCCCCGTCGACAAGCCCATGTCCAAGCTAGCGGCCAAGCGCAGTTCCTTGGCTTCCATTTGGCGCCCTCGATCCTCCTTCAGATTGGTATGACCCACTGTAATCACACTGCTACAGATCGGACAACAGGCAACATTTGCCCAAACACTAGAGACCCTCTCGATCCATATCTGCTACTTATCGGAGACCCGCCTGCAAGACTCGAGCCCAGTGCTCACCTTGATTTCTCCTTCAGATGACACAAGCAATACATTCTTATTGCACCCATCCGGTGACGATACAACTACGGTGTTGGTATTGCCCTGAATCTCCGGGCTGAAGCTGCTCTGGTTGACTGGATTCCATTCAGTAGCCGGTTGTATGCGGTCCGATTGGATGGCTCGTTCAAAACTTCGAAGTGGCAGGGGATTAACAGCTGTCTATTCGCCATTGCTGCATATGCACCCACAAACCAGAACCATACTTTGGTAAAAGACTACTTCTATCGCCAATTGAACTAGCTCCTTCGAAACCGAAGCAGCTCGGACACTGTAGTGCTGACTTGGGTTCTGAATGCTCAAGTTAGAAAATTATCCACTGAGTAACTGCATCTGGGCGGCCAACATGATGTAGACTCCCGTAATGATAACGGTGAGCGGTTACTTCATTTGTGTGAAGATGCTAGCTTATTTCTTGCGAGCACTAATTTCCGACACAGCACCCGCCGGAGGGTGACTTGATGCCCACCAGCCTTGAACCAGCTATGGACACAAATCGATCACATTACTATCAGTTACCGCTGGTGAGGCTGCATCCAGAACTGTCGCTCGATTTGGAGCACAGGTGTGGACACCGACCATGCTCTTGTATGTGCTGACCTGCGGATGCGTGTAGTGACCTTGAAATTCCCCTGTTTGGCTGCCGCATGCTGCGTAAAATATTACAAAATCACAAGATTATATTTTCTCGATGTACACAGAAAATTAGCCGCTCGCCTGTTTGAACGTTGCTCGCGTTTGTTTGAGTCAACATAGCATCCGCCTTCGAACGGCACGACGCTTGTCGGCTCCACGGCCATCTTTGCTCTCCGCACACGCGACCATACCTTTCCCTAGCTAGCTATCTTCCGGTGCCTTATTTTTAGCACTAGATAGCGTTTTGCCCCACTTAATAAATTTTTCCTAGCGTTACTTTCGGTGTTCTCCACTCATCGGAGGTTGGCCTTATATTCGCGTATTTGTTCTAAAGCGTACCGATCCCGCTTCTCGCTTTATGCGCTTTAACGGACGCCCAAGACGACGTTGTGACTGCACTGACACCAGCCAACTGGCGAAACCAGATCTTCTAACTGCCTATCAAAGTACGCTGTCATACAAGTTGGATAAATGCTCACTGGATGCAATTGAAGCTCACTGGTCTCATATGCACCAGTCCTTATTAGCAGCAGGAGAATCCTCATGTGGGATGTCTAATCGCCAACATGGACACTGGGTCTCTTCACAGTTTCTGGAACTTATCGATGCTCGCCGGCATATTTCGGCTGGAAGCGAACACAATGAAACTCGCAAAGAGCTCCGGGCAAAACTCTGTGCTAGCCTGAAGAGAGACCGCGAATCTTGGTGGTCTCATCGTGTATCAGAGATGGAAATGGCCATGTCCTTGGTAACAATCGTAAGTTATTCCGGCTGATATGGGAAAAAAGATTTGTGACAAGAGTGGACAGACCATCCACAATTTGTCAAAACGCTTGGAGCGTTGGGATGAGCAATTTGAAAGACAAGTTAATCGGTCGGAATTGTTAGATTTCGTTTCGACCACTGATCGTCCCGCTCCGTTGGCTGTCCCTTTGGATCCACCCTCTCGCTCAGAAGTCGAACATGAGATCACACTGTCGAAGTTGAATAAAGCCGCGGGACCTGATGATCTTCATCCAACCCTCTTCAATTTCGGGGGACCTGCTCTTGTGGATGATTTATATGAGTTACTAGTGAAACTGTGGGAGCAGGAAACTGTCCCAACCGACTGGAGCCGCTCCGTCATAGTCCCAATTTTCAAGGGAGGCTCAATATCAGAATGTGGCAGCCATATAGGAATCAGTCTGATCTCCATCGCCTCCAAATTGCAAGGCCTCTGTCAGCTTTCACAGACTGACTGGCACTCGTGAAAGCCAGATTCGTGAAGAGAAAGCCGGGTTTCGTCGAGGTCGTGGCTGCATTAACCGCAGCTTCACTTTGCGTCCGTTGTTGCAGCACCGTCACATATATTTTCGGCCCAACGTTGTCATGTTCCTCGATATCAAACGTGCATTCGATTCGGTGGATAGACGTGCACTTTGGAACTGTCTACTGAGGAAAGGTGTACATGAGAAATATGTGAATATTATCCGAGCATTATACGAGCGTAGCTCGGGCAGAGTGAGGGCTTACGACAGGTTGTCGTCGCCCTTTAATATCTCCAGCGGTGTGAGACAAGCATGCCCGCTGTCACCTTTCCTCTTTAACTTCGCTATTGACGAAGTCATGGAAATCGCGTTTACAGGACACGACTTAGAAGGTGTGGATCTGCTCTTAGGAGAACGACTTCTTGACTTAGAGTATGCTGATGATATTGCACTAATCTGTGACAGCTCACAAACGTGCAAAGCGGCACTGGACAGATTAGCACTAGCTGTTCGTCACTTCGGGCTTTGCTTCGCACCATCGAAGTGCAAAGCTTTCCTGCAAGATTGGTCTGGACCTCCTACCGTTGGTGGGGAACAGCTAGAAGTTGTCCGGAAATTCAACTACCTGGGAAGTTGTATCAGCGCCCGTGGGATTGAAGATGAGATCACGAACCGAATATCAAAAGCTCGGGGTGCTTTTGCTTACCTTCGCCACTTATGGCGATGGCGCGACATCACTCTTGTCCTGAAAGTAGAGTGTACAATGCAGCGGTACGTTCGACCCTACTGTACGGTTTGGAAACCTAGCCCCTTAGATAAGCGGACATAAAGAAGCTAGTTGCTTTCGATCACCAGTGCCTTTGCAATTTAGCTCACATCTGACAGGAACACCGGGTATGCAACGAGCGTTTTCGACGCCTTGTTTACGACAGAGGAAAAGGAAATGAACCGCTCAGCACCGTTATTTCACGCTCCAGGCTCCGATGGGTCGGCCACGTGTTGCGCATGCCAGCCCACCGACTCCCGCGACCTGCGTTGTTTGTGCGCCGGGGGTGTGGATGGAAGAAGAGGAGAGGTGAGGAAGCGATGACTTGGTCGAGAGGTATAAAGGCCCCCACTTGGGAGCTGGCCTCAGTTGGAGCCACTCGCCTCCCTGGTTGGGGTCCGAAAGACGATGAACACGTTTGGTTGGACACACTTGCTGATATGGCTAGGAGCCGACCTCAGTGATGTTTGTGCTGAGTTTCTTTGTCCCACTCATCCCTCTGAGCCTCCCCTCCAAGCACTATCTCAATATTTAGCCTTTTATAATTTTGCGTAGTACGTTACTTTTTCTACTGCATACTAACCGGCAGGTAGCTTACCGGAACGATACTCATCTGTTACCAACAGCTCAGCTGGACTGCGCCTGTTGCATTTTATTCCCTTTTTTCTTTCAGTTATTGCTGAGGTGTTTCCCACCTCCAGCTAACATGTATACTGATGATGCTGAGTCTTGTTTGGCCTACATAGTACTTGTCGCAGTGCTTACAGGAAATTTTTTAAGCTAATCCTGATGTTTCTCCCTTAGACAGTTTGTCCTTTACCTTAAAATGTTTACTTCGCATGGTTTCCCTTGCTTCGTGTGCAACATTTATCCCGTGAAGCATTAGAAGCCCCGCTGCGATTTCAGAAATCCCATAGACGTAACGTAGGATAATGGTTCTTCTTTCTGCTGCAAGTGCAGACCCGGGTTGTGACTGGCCCTTTGAAAGCATGCAGCGTAAAATAAACCTTCTAGGCTACGAATTTCGCTGAAACAAACTAAACAGGTGGTCCTCCTTCACCTTCCTCATTTGCGGCGTGCTACAGTGTGTCTTGGTCCATTTGAAAAGCTTCCTCACGCGACTTCGCTTGTATATGGTCAGATGGTTACTGCAATAGTTTAAGATCTGATCGGTATGCGTCCCTTTCCGATAAACTGTTGTTTCCAGTGACCCAAAGCATATCTTCTCCTGAGCACGTTCACGAATGGCAACTGGTCATTGTTCTCTTCCTCTTTGGTAAAATGGATACCGAAAAAATATTATTGATTAGTTACTTTATTTCTTCTAGTCTGGATCGTTTGAGGATGACAAACGTACCGCCTTTTAATGTAAAGGACAAACCGCCTGAGAGAGAAATATCAAGTGTAGTTTACAAAATTGTTTGCAAGAAATGTGATAAGTACTATGCAGGCCAGATTGGAAGAAAACTTGGCACAAGGCTGCATGAACATAGTCTGGCCATACGCCGCCATGGTTAGAAGTCCTTAATGTCAGTACAGTACACATGGATGCCGAGGACCATCAGTTCGATCTGGAGAACGTTTAAATACTTGGAAGAGCAAGAAATCGCAGAGCGCGTGTGTTCCTCAAGGCCTCGCATTCTGACCGGAACTCAATCAACAACCACCTGGAGCTGGAGGGTGTCTACGCAGCTCTGCAGGTTAAGCCAGCAATAGGCACCAGATAGACAAGGAGAAGACGTGTACACTCGACAGACTCACGTGAACCGATCGAAGACTGACCTTCGAAGCAGGTAACAATCAATAGTCATTCGGATCTGGCATTGGTTTGCGAGACTCCGCGAATCAGTACTGAATAGCCGCACTGAAGATGTTGTCTAGTTTAGTAACGAAACTTCTGCAACAGAAACGCCCGGACGACGGTCTAAATTCACTAGTATCTATTTCGCCACTTAACTGCTCCATGGGATACCGCGCTGATGTCTATATCTACTAGGTTTACTCGTTCCCCACCTGTCGCGTGCCTCACGAATATAGTCCACAATGTTCGTCGTTTGATCTGACACTAGCGTGTGTGCTCGAGGCAGAACTCTTATTTACAAACTATAATATTATTACTCGCCACAAGTAGAGGCTAATCGGTTCAAAGATTGCTGCTTCATTTGTACACAAAGTCAGCAGTGAATACAATATTGTACACTGAGTGACAAATATTGCATTACTGACAATTGTCTAATAAGATACCGCGATTGCATAACTAATTGAAATCTACGTGAAACGATACTAGCATCCATGAAAGCCAGATTCCTAAACAGCAAGCCTGGTTCCGTCAAAATCGAGAATGCATTGACTGCGCCTTCACACTATGTCATTTAGTGAAGCGCGGGGTGCAGCATTCGCGCGACCAGAATGTGGATAGTTAAAGAAGAGCGAAGGCCACTGATGACGTGGTCAAGAGTAATGATATCCCTCACTTTGAACTTGGAGTTGGTTGAAACTTCCTGATTGTTAAGATGGAATAGGAGAGACCATGGCCATGTTTGGTTGCATACGCTTGTTGCTAAGTTCAGAATCCGACCTAAATGGTGGTTGCGTTTAATTGTCCCTCCTCATCTTGTTCAGATTCCTCTCCAACCCACTTTCACACTCAATATACAATTTGCAACTGACCATAATATAATCTGTTGTTGATTTTATTTTGTACTCTTTAATTTTAGTCTGTACTTTTTTCATCTCTTCCATCTATTTGTATTGTAGCATAACAGCTGAGGTTCTACCCGATTTTAGTTAACTTAAAAACATGATTTTGTTGCGCCACGGTGGACGCAATAATTCTTAACGCTATCTAACGTGTCTAGCGATGATGATGAAAACTTTATGTCTCTATGACTGTGTACAACATAAGATTCCTAAGTAAAGCCGATATGTTATTTCATTGATGGACTTTATAACATGCACTTGGCAAGTTCTAAAATTAATCTGTTTCCTAGTACCTGCTCAGTAATCGATTTCGGAGCTCCGTTTTGTGTGTTAGGATAATCGGCCAATGGATGCAACGAAATTTTAGGCCGCAACAAATTGTTGCATTTGTCCGTATTGATCTAGTTATATCCCACACTCCAAGCAACTCCAGTGTTCAGTAAAAAGAGAAAAACATCCGATTGCAATTGGTCAAGTATTCGTTGAATGATCCTCAGGTGTGTTAAAGCACAGCAGTAAGAAATGTTTGTCGACGTTTACAATTTACAGAACAATAGTATGGGGCGTTGAATGGTATAAGGTAGAAATTCGTCACATCTAGACTCACTCAGACAGACGCAACACGCCCGGAAAAGCACTGTATGCGCTTTTCATCCTTTCGGGAATTGTCAGCAGTACGCATTCCATCGGACCCTTGGTAGGGCTCGAACCCGCAACTCGACTGTTGCCAGTCCGTGGTTGAGACCACTGAGCTAGGGGGGACGGCAACAACCATCGTGAATAAGTTGCTAGATGTGATATAGCGCCGCTCACTATCCACTGACTTACACGTTACTGCCGTGCAGAGGACAGGGTAGCCCCCTCACCAAGCGACAAGCTTACCAAACTTAAGCCGCCAATTATCTTATGGCATTATAAGCAGTTTGGTTTGCGTACTGATTACAGAACAGTAGTAGGAGGAGTTGAATGGTATAGGTAGAAATTCGGCACATCTATAATTTACCCATTCTTAGCTAGAATATAACATCTTACATTCCTTTGTTTCCCCATTCCTAGACAAGATGCCAAGGTAGCGGGTTCCTAGGGTTGGCACAGAGATAATGTATATCCAAATTATCCAAAGAGGCTGCTTAGGTCAACCTTTGTTAACTACTACCAGCATTAGCAGGGAGAACAAGTGCTTATAACGTACTTCTTTACGAGGTAAATTAACTTAAATATATCTCGGTCACTTCAAATAAAAGTTACAAAGCTCTCTCTGATCTGCTTTGGGCTGAGATACCATTATGGCTTAGATCAATCATTTCTTTGAATGCTCTGCCGACAAAAGTGATATCAATGCAAACATTAAGTAAGTTCATACACCGACCCGATGCATTTAGTTAACGGCTACAAATATTTGCCTCGTTACCATGCTTACTATTAAGTTTTCGCAGTCTGTCATGTCGTGTGGCCCACCATGAATCAAAAATCAACTTCTGGGCCTCGATTGGATATATATTTGATCAGAAAGTATCTTAGTAGTTTTAAGGCAAATTGCGCACCTTTGAGCGGTTACCATACGTTCTTCCTTGATAAACTGCCACTGACGGACTTAGCGTACTCATCAGTCGAGCCAAATGGCCGTGTGCGCCTAAGAGGCGCCTAAGAGGCTCATACGCGTGAGCGTTGGTGCTTGACGGAAGGCGATCGATCAGCTTTCAGACAATCGGCCCAAATCCTTTCAGCATGCCCGTTCGATAGGAGACCAGCATGATTAATGCTGTAAGTTACCAAAGACCACTGCTTATACTTTCCTCACTCAGGTTGTGTTGTCCGATAGCTTACTTTCTTTTTGTGTCCTTACATTTCGTTTTTCCCCTCATTCCATTTGGAACAGTGGGACAACTAGAGTAGAGCATTCGGACACTGATCGTTTGACCACTGTTTAAAAGTGCTTGCCGGTTGGACATACAGAAGACTAACCAATGCATCCGTCCACGTTGGATCAAAACATCATGAGATTGAAATTTCGATTGTTTCTGTTTAATTTAAACTTGAAAACAAACTTATAAAAATTCATTCCTCTAAAAGAGGGATTTTGTTTCCTTCTGCCCTTACCTTTTCAAGATGACTAACTGTGAGTGGTGGTATGGTGTTGACAAGGTGCAGGCGTCTTGACCCTGAGTCTTTGTGTTTAGAGCATTACGTTTTTAACCTAGGCTCGCTTTCATTCCTACTTATAGTACTGCTTTCCGCAGGTCACCATGATTGTACGGCAGCGAAGGATTAGTTCACATGGCTGGTGTATTGCGCAGTTGTTGCTGACAATGTTGATCCCACAAATAAACTCCTGGTCGCTTCATCTCAGAAACTAGTGGCAACATAGGGACCAACTATCATCTTAACCATTCAAACAATGACTGCAATTAAGTCTAAAGAACGCAAAAGTGCCATTAACATCAGGCAGTTAGCAGATACTGTGAAGTAGCATTTAAATGCAACTTATTGCAAATATTAGCGTCTGAACTCTAGTCTACTCAGAATACTGAATATCAAACTAACGATAGGCAACGTATTGGAACCTTTAAGAATCCAAAGAAATGCTTCGTTTATAAAAAAGTTGTGGCAGATCAGCTTAGTTACATTAAACACTGATACGAACCAACGGAACCTATTCATATTGCAGCGAGAACGACGCGGGAGTGGGGCAGCGCATGTCTTGCCACAACAATGCGCAAGTGACAACTCACAAACCCGTACAGATATGGATCGTGTTTACTTCCCACGACGCAACGCAGAAGAGGACTTGTGTGACGGGCCATTCCAGGTGCCTATGAGGTGCAAAGTCGTAAGCATAGGCTAGCAGCTTATCTATGAACATCGACTTGGGGACCATCAGTCACAACCTGCTTCCCAAGAAAACAACCTCGGGGTAATCGTGCAGGATAAGCTTGGCTGCTCAAAACAGGCTGAAAAGGTATTAAAAAAAGCCAGTCAACACCTTGGACTCTTAAGAGGGGCTTTCGGTATTTTTGAATTATCAGTCTTTCCGCAAATGCTGAACGCTTTCGTGAGGCCGCACGTTGAATATGCGATCGAGGCCTGAGGTCGCTAGCGCAACTGCGACATCAGTGCACTTGAAACTCCACAACGTAGAGCAACCAAACTCGTTAGAGGATGGTTTTATCTCTCCTACCAGAGTACACTACAGTCCCTGAGTTTGTGCAGTGGCAAACATCGGCGTCAACGACGAGACTTCATCATGGTTTACTCAATACTGACGAACTCAACTCACCCATGTCGCAATCTGTTGCAGCTAAGCCAAAATACTAACCTGAGAAGCCAACAACTCACACTGGCTACGCAATAAAGTCGGCTTTATCGTCGACGAAACCTTTTCACCCGCCGTGTGTCCCGTACCTGGAATTCCCTTCTGACTTGCGTTATTCTTGCCCCTACATTAACGGTATTCAAAAAACGCCTTGATGGCTCGTTTTCCAAGTTGCATTACTTGATATAGTCCGATCCACTAAGAGGACGAAATAACTCAAACCAAACCATGTGCTTATCTGCCCTCTTTGCAACGTGGCGCTGAGGATACAAGCAGAAGTGGCCATGTAAATAGCCTGGATGTATTTAAACTGAATTAACATACCACATCTGTCAAATGCAGCAACACACGAGTAAGCGTTGTCGATGCCA